AAAAAAAAAAAAAAAAAAAAAAAAAAAAAAACTACCTTTCTGAAGTGGAATAGTAGAAGAAATTGTGTATTTGGTTTCATCAAGCCAACTCAGGGCAGAATATCACCTTCCCAAAAAGCTACTCTAGAAGTTAATATTCCGTTACAATAATGGGAACACATAGACAATGGAATAATACAGGGCCAGGGATTTAGCTCAGTGGTTCTGCTACCTGCCTTGCAAGCCCAAGATCAAGTTCAATCCTGGGTACAAAAAGAAAAAAAAAATGTGCTCGCTTCAGCAGTATATATACTAAATTTGGAATAATATAGAGTACCTTATCTATGCTGAGCTCCTTATCTTATTTGAGCAAATTTCTTAGTTTCTCTAACTGACAGTTTCCTCAGCTATCAAAACGATAATACTAACATCTACTTACAATGTTACAACAACAAAAATGAAAAAATCTATATAAAATACCTATCTTCTGTAATACAGAAAGCACCAGTAGTTGTTTCTTATTAGTAATACTATTAGGATAAGGTCAAAACATAATTTTTCAACAAAACAAAATTTTACTGCATTAAGTGAAGCTTAACAAAATCACAAAAGGGAAAAGTTTACTACAGCCTTTCCTTTTTTTGTTGTTGTTTACTATAATTTCAAGTAACTCATCATCCTTAGAATATTTTTCTCCCATTTTTCTTTAAAACAAAGATATAATCATGTTAAAACTTTGCTAACCAAAAGGTAAATGTCCTGGTCCACTGTCAATTCATAAAATTAATAGGCAAAAAAATATATCGAATTATTTTTTAATTAATTTTTGTACAGCATATTTAATCCATCTCATATTTCTTAAACTTTGTATTTTCCTCTAACTTTATACCAATCCTTTCCACCCAACTAACTCCAAACAATTTTCTCTGTCTGCATAGGAATGAATAAAAATGAATGGCTCCAATTCAATGGTAATTTTTCCCCTACAACCACCCACAAGAAATCACTCCAATTGCTTATCATTTTACTCCTATCCAAACTATAATCAAGAGCTAAAAAAATCACTTCTATGAAACTAGATAGCTTGCTGCTGTTAGTAATACAGCATTCTGCTAAAGCATGCATAACACCCAATAAATGACATCATTTATTTCAATGTGCTATTCTATAATCTTTGTTCTGGAAGGCTCATTCGTTGTATGCACAAACAAATGAAACAACATCCTGCCAATTTTCCTGACACATAATTGAATGACCTCCTGATCATGCAGTAAGTCCTGAGATTACAGAATTCATATGTTTTTTAACATGTATAATACTCCCAAAGTTTCTAAAAGAAACTTCCTAACTTGAAGAATGTTTGCTAGACAAAATACACATACAAATGGTTTCATGCCCAAAAAAATTTAAAAAAAAAAAAAAGAAAATCAATTTGTTCTCAGATCCTTCTCACTGAATTTCAGGTGAAGTGAACTTGGAGAAGTGCAACTTTACACAGTTTAGTACTGAGTTTTCCATATTTTAGATTAATTTCTCCTGATGTAGCAGAGTTCTCAAAGATACGGATCTGAATCTCCAGAATGCCATTTTAATATCCATGTGACCCTACACAACTTTCAATTTTCTCAAGCTAGAAGTTATCGTTTGTAAAAACCAAAAGCATCTACCTCATAGGCTGCTGAGAAGGCTAGATAACACAGTAGATGCAAAATCCATGTAAAACGGACATGTCATGACTAAGTGCCTAGCACAGTAAACTCCCAAATTTTAGCCTTGTCATTAATATTATTTTAAACATGACAATAAATTGTTAACATGTAAAGTAAATTAGGAAAAAAGAGATACTGTGAACTTTAAATAAAATTTACTTGCTTGCTGGGAATATCCAGTTTCAAAACTGTAATATAAAAGCCTGACTATTGAACATTTTACTGCCTGGCCTACTCTTATCAACTAAGTTGCCATTCCCACATCTCCTTGTTATTTTCTTCCTCCCATGTCATCCATCTACTAAAACAGCATCCTGCCTCTGAATCCCTACTCACTAGCTCATTTGTTGATGTGGTACAGGAGAGGCAAAGATCATATACTAAACTACAATGTAAGATAGTAAAAAAGAGGCAAAAACAGGACCTCCTAAACAGACTTTCAGCAATTCTATTTAAGAAATGAAAAGTTTATCAAGTATACTAAGACATATATCAACTTTATTTTAAAAATGAAGTTTATCAAATAAACTATGTATCAGGCCACTAGACATCTAAAGATCATTTTACAGAGGACTGTGAGTAGGTCTCTTTCCAGACTATAGATAGGTTATTATAAGAAACACTTTCTGAAAATGTAATGAGCAATCTAGACTTATCAAAACAAAAACTATATTGCTTAAATATTTGAGGCATGACCATGCAACAAAGATGTAGCATAGGGCCGGGGATTTACAGCTCAGTAGTTCCGCCGCCTGCCTCGGAAGTGCAAGGTCCCAAGTTCGATCTCCGGTACCAAAAAAAACCAAAAAAACAAAGAAGTAGCACAAAATGATGAAATTTAAGATTATTATGTATACAATTCTGATAAAGGTATCAAATTTAAAGATGACTTACCCGTTGAGCTCTTTCTTTTAAATCTTGATCTTGGGCCAAAAAGGATTCCAATTTTTTCTGGACATCTATAAGTTTTTCTGGATTGATTCTTCATAACAAAAATAGATAATAGTTAAACTAAGAAATCTCAATTTGAGAAACTGTAAATAATATGTAGTATTTTCCTATTTCCTTTTATTTTTAAATGTATAGCATTATTTCTCATGAATGAACCAAATTAGATCTACATTACATTATGCCTACATCTCACTGTCCTGTTTTATAAATACAGAAGAAATGACATGTAAGACACTTTAAATATCCCACACTAAGCGAGTGAAGGCTACTTAGATTGACACCACAATTAACACTGATTACTTAACTTCATAAAGACAGAAAGTAACCTCCCTTGGGAAATGGATTTATGAAATAAGTCATATCTAATGTCATTTTGGTAAATGTTTCCATTTTCAGTCAAATATTAAAGTCAGTTTGAATAAATAGTCATGATTACAAATATTGATTTACCTATTTAGAAATTAGGCATAACAGAGGCATTCCTTAAAACTGCCCAGGTAAGCTATAGGAAAGAATAAAATTTTTACAAGGGTCTAGGTTTCCAAAAAACGAACTCTACTTATTTTCCTGAGTTTAGACTGAACCACTTTGTTCCTGCAAAGCCGGAGTGATGACGGATAAAGTTATTTTTTATTTCAGAAAGTATCAAAGCATACAAAGATAGACTTTCACTATCAACAATTAGCAACTCATGGCCAATTTGTTTCTTTTACAGCCTCAACAGCTCCACCCTCATCTAACTACCTTCAAAATTATTTTCAGGCAAATCAAGCCAGGATGTTTCAATGGCTCTACAATACACGTAGGTCTGAAGGATTCTACTAATGCCCAAACAGCACATCCTCCATGAGAGAAGACCAAGATTCTTTGAAATGGACAGGTATCCACAGAATAATTTCATCCATGAAGTTTTATCCTTACAATTCTCAATGCTAAGGCCAGGGATTTAGTGCAGTGGCACCATGCCTGCCTCACAAGCATAATAAGGTTCTGAGGTCAATCTCCAGGACCAAAAACAAAAAGCAATTCTCAGTGCTTCCTAAAGCTAGCATGTTTTCTTTTGAATCTCATTTTCTCCAGTCTAAAAAACTATTTAAAATTTTTTCTAAAATGGAGTACTACTCAGCCATAAAGAAAGATGAACTAGAGACATGTATAGCTCAATGGATGCATCCTGAGGCCATACTCTTAAGTGAAATAAGTAGGACACACCTGTGTAAATACTGAATAGGTTATGTGGTGTGAGAAACTGAAAGTGTGAATGAGGACTCAAATGTGTAATAGATATTGTGAAATAGGAAGAAAAGGTCCAAAGGAGAAAGGGAAGGGGGGGTGGAGAAAGGAAAGAAGGGAAAGAAAGAAAACATGAAAAAAGAAAAAGAAACAATTTTTTGTAACTAGGGAAAGGTGGAGGGGTAGAAGAGAGAGAAGGGGAATGGGGAAAAAAAACAAGAACCAAGATATATCATGTACAGGTACAAATTCCCAATGATGATGTGATCATAATGTATATCTAAAATGAACCAATAAACTTAATGACCTTTTTAAAAAAATCAGAGCAGAGAGTAATGCAATTGAGACTAAGAAAACAGTACAAAGAATGAATGAATGGAAAAGGTGGTTCTTCAAAAGGTTAAATAGACAACCCTTAACCAATGTTATCAAAACAAGAAAAGACTTAACATCCATGCAGTTGGTAATGAAAATGGAGAAATCACAACAGATTCTGCAGAAAACCAGAAGATCACCAATACCTACTTTGAAACCAGGTGTCATGGTACATGCCTATGATCCCAGTCCTCAGGAGGCTGAGGCAGAAGGATCACCATGAGACCCTGTCTCAAAAATCACCCCCCAAAAAATAAATAAATAAAAGAAAAAACAATAACCTACTACAAGAACCCATACTCCAGTAATATAGGAATGGACAGACTTCAGAAGAAATGGACAGATTCCTGGATACCTATGAATTACCAAAGCTGAATCAAGAAGATACAAAAATTTTAAATAATCCAGTATTAGTCAATGAAACTGAAGAAGTAATTTTAAAATTGCCAACAAAGAAAATCGCATGCCCTGATGCACTCTCTATGGAATTCTACAAGAACTTTAGAGAAGATATAATACCACTACTCTTCAAACACTTTACTTAATGATTAAAGGGAAGCAATACTCCCAAACTCACTCCTGGAAGCAAGCATTACCCTGATACTAAAACCAGAGAAGGATCCAACCAAAACAAGAGAACTACAGGCCAGTCTCCTCAAAGAACACAGATATGAAAGTCCTCAATGAGATTCTAGCAAACAGAATGCAGCAAATCATCAAGAAAATTATACATCATGAACAAGAAGGATTCATCCCTGGGATTTACGGATGGCTCAACATACACAAATCAATAAATGTAATATACCACATTAACAGAACCAAGGACAAAAAAAACACATGTTCACTTCAATAGTTTCAGGAAAAGCATTTGACAAAGTCCAATACTATATGATTAAAAACCATACAGAAAATTGGAATAGAAGGTCTTTATCTCAATCTCATTAAAGTTATCTATGACAAACCAACAGCCAATATCATACGAAAAGGTAAAAAACTGAAAACTTTCACTCTAAAATCAGGAACAAGACAAGTATACCCATGATCACCACTCCTATTCAATGTAGTTCTGGAAACATGAGCCAGAGCAGTTAGACAACAGAAAGAAATAAAAAGAATGAGAATAGGAAAGGAAGAAGTTAACCAATCAGTGATAGAGCACTTGACTGGGTTCAATCCCCAGTACCACAAAAATAAAACAAAAAACAAAACAAAACAACTATAGGCAAGACTCTCTCCAAAACAAAAAGAAAAAAACAACAACAAAAATCCTCCACACAATCCAATTTATAAATGGGCCAAAGACCTTAACATATCTCTCTCAAAAAGATGGCAAATAAGCATATGAAAAGAAACTCCACATACTGCATCATCAGGGAAATGCAAGCTGTAACAACGAAACTACACACATATTAGAATGGTCAAATTCCAAAACGCTGACAACCCCAAATGCTAACAGTTTCAATCAACAGGAATTCTCATGTATTGCTGATGGGAATACAAAATGGTACAGCTCTCCTTAGAGGACAAGTTTTCTTACAAATCTAAGCATCCTATTTCCCTGAAAATAAGGCCTAACTGAAAAAAAATCAGCCCTGAAATCTAAAGAACAAAGATCCCAGCCTTTTCAGCCTATTTTTGCCTTACCTGCCTTACAGAGTAGCCACCAAGAAGAGGATAGTGATGGCAGATAGGACAAGGATAGGCTGAATGGAGCTGCCATTTTTTATCTCTAGTTTTGGGGACTAATTATTTTCTGGTTAGGTCTTATTTTCAGGGAAACATGGCATAGTCTTACCAAACAATCTAGCTACCATGTTTTTGGTAATAACTCAAAACAGTTGGGAGCCGGGGATTTAGCTCAGCGGTTCTGGCGCCTGCCTTGCAAGCAAAAGGACCCAAGTTCAATCCCTGGTATCCAAAAAAAAGCAGCTAAATGTCCACACAAAAAGTGCGTGTGAATGTTTACTCACAGTTGCCAAAACCTCAGAAGGTCCTATAGTAAGTGAAATGTGGATAAACTATCACATCTGGACAACACATTCTTCAACACAAAAAAGAAATGAACTCTCAAGCCATGAAAAGATAAGGAAGAACCTTAAATATGTATTTACTAAATGAAGTGAAAACAAGTAAATCTAGAAGGGCTATATATGGTTTCAACTATATGACATTCTGAAAAAGCCAAAACTATAGAAATAGTAAGATGACCAGTGTTTGCCAGGGGTTAGTGGGAAAAGAAGGATGAACTGGCAATGCACAGAGGATTTTTAGGGTAATATATATTCTGCACATGGTTCTGTAAGAGTAGATACACGTCACTACACATCTGTCCAAACCTAGCAAATATACAATCTTTCTGAGGATGCTGATACTAGGGGAGGCTATATAAGTGAGGGGCAGAAAGTATACAGAAACTCTCTGAACTTGCCTTTCAATTTTGCTATGAAACATAAAGCCTCTTCAAAAGAAAAAAAAAAGTGCCATTTTTCTTTAATGTCAAAAACCAAGCAGCTGAATGGACTAGGAGGAGAAGGGAAGTAGTTGTAGGCCATAAAACATAATAAATTCAGATCTTCACTTTCCTAACAACATTAAAGCCAGTAACTCTTACTTGATTTGCTTCACAGGTACTTTCCTCTGGAGAAGCTGCTGCACCATCCCTTGTTCTTCTGAGGGAAGTAAAATTAATAAAGCTTCACCATCCTCTTTGTACCTAAAGGAAATAAAACAAAAATCTAACACATCTATGCAATCTGCATTTTACATTTTAACACTATAATAAGTAGGTAACATGGAACCCAGTTCATCTAATTAATAAATATTTGTAATACCAGTTTTTAGTCTTCTGCGACAAACAAAACCAAAAACACTTAAGGGCAGTGATTAAGCTCAGTGGTTCTGCCGCCTGCTTCTCAAGCACAAGGTCCCGAGTTTGATCTCTGGTGCCAAAAAGAAAAAAAAACACCTAGGGTGCTGACCACCTTACATCATATTTCCAACACTCATTATAATTTCTAGTGATTATAAGGCTGTGCCCCAGTACAAGAGCTAGCACCTAAGAAAGAACCAACTAAAGGTAATTGCTTAAATAAGTCTCTACCTATACAGTAAAGAGAAAAAAATTTTTTCCAGCCACTAAACGAGTCTAATAAAATGAGTCATTTTTTTAAACATGGCACTTTAATATAGAGTCCACCAAAAAAATGTATACATCCTCCAGCAATTTGCCAAACTAATACACGTCTGGAGGCTAACAGCCACCACTGTGAGCACCTCCTATAATTGTACAGGCCAAAGGAAATTTGTATTAATCTCATGATGCCCCAATAAATTTAGTATTCAGATATTTATACAAGTTTTTTTTTCCTGATATATACATTTTTTTGGCAGAATCTACAGCAGTCAATTCATTTTCTAAAGGATTTTACTAAAATCTTTAAAATAAAAAATATTCAGAGGCATCAGGTTGAAGAGAGGATCTTTGCTCAGGTATGAAGGAATGGATCTCTGCTCAGGTGAAATAACTGCCCCTAATTCTTATAACTTATCTTCCTTACCTAAAAGAAAATATTTTGGTGCTGTATCTTCAGAAATTTTGGCTGATGTGGCATCCCACAGTTACTTAAGCTTTTTGTGATACTTTCTTACAGATTTTACTGATACAATAGCATCTGCTGTTACACTAAGCAGTAAAACATAATGAAAAAGGATACTTGGGGAAATTTTTTTAAATAAACATAAGAAAAAAATCTCAACGCATTCTCTTCAAGATGCACATTACAAAATAAGGAGCACATTTTTATAACTAACCAAACAACAAACTATTTACTGAGAAAAGTATGTACCAAGTATAAACTAAAGAACACAAAGAAACAAAAACATGAAAATTCCGTCCTCAGTAATCTAACATTTAAATTAACCAGGAAAGAAATCACACAAGCAAGAGATTCAGGACTATTCACAGAATGTCAAAACAGTGCGAAAGGACAGTCATGGGCCATAAATGCCAACACAGAATTAAAGAGAGATTACTTCAGGCTTGCCAGAGGAAAAAACTGTAATAACCAATGGAATTTCAGGTAGTTCCTATAGGCAGGACAGAAAAAGCTATGGTTCTCCAAAAGAAAACAGCAGAGCCAACCGAAAAGAAATCACAAGTTACAAGGCTAAAGAAAGAACTAAAATAAAAAGTCTTAAGCTGAAATATAAAAAGGGGAAACAGGACAAAGTAATACAAAGTACATTAGAGCTTATTTTTGGAGAACCTTGGATGCAGTATAACTTTACCATTGAACGCTGGAGGGAAAACTGGCTTTCACCACTTACTCAGAGATGGTATACTTTACTTTGATGACTAAAGGGTAATTTTGTCTCACATGTTGACTTTAAAACTCAACTCCTATACAAAAGATAAAACTAATCTAACATGGAAGCCAGGTGTGGTGGCGCACACCTGTAATCCCAGCACTGGGGAGGCTGAGGCGGGAGGATTGCTGTGGGTTCCACACCGGCCTGGGATACATAGGAAGTTCCAGGTCAGTCTCAACTACTTAGTGAGACCCTGTCTCAAAAAAAAAAAAAAAAAAAAAAAAAATTAAAAAGAAAAAACATTAAAGAAATAAAAAAAAAAAAAAAAAAACTAATCTAACATGAAAAAATATATTAATATTCTTGTATGCACAGCCACAGAAAACTGTGAATTAAAATAAAACAAGATAGGGCATGGTGGCACAGCTTGTTACCCCAGCATTCAGGAGGCTAAAGCAGATTTGCCACAAAACCAGGCCTACATGGGATATCAAGGCCAGCCTTTTCACAGTGAGACCCTGTCTCAAAAAAACAAATAAACAATCAAAAAAAGTTTTTTCTTCTAGTCAATTCACTAATATTTTTAAATTTTATTAAAGGATCATATATGAACACTACTGGATAGTGAGAAAACAGACATGGTCCTGGTTGTTAAGAGAGCTACTTATTGGATATTAAACCCACTAATAATTCAGGATTTTGAGTGTTGTGATAGACAAACCAGAAAGTCTAATAATATAAAACAGAGCTCTGGTTAATGCATTCTTGGTGTCAGGAAAACTACCCTGTGAAAATGACACCTAAACTGAGACCCAAAGGATTAGAAATTAATCTAAAATTAGAAGTAAGAAAATAGGGACGTCTAATTTTCCACAGGGAAAATATAACATTTAAGAGTCCACTGAATACTTTATTCATGCTTCTTTACTTTTCCTCATAAACCTGGGAAGCGAGTAAAACTGAACATAGTTTACTCTTTTATCTAATTATATTTCATAACTGAAAAACTACTGCCAAGTTATCTTCCCTGTATTTTAAAAGCAAAGTTACATGACTCAAAAGTTTTCATCTTCATTTACTACAAAGGAAAATTAATTTAAAACTTTCCCCCTTTGCGGTATTAGAATGGACCCTCTATGAAGGCAGAAGTTATCTGCATATACAGTAATGAGGTATCACCTCAAGCAAACAATGTATCAGAAATACCACAACTTCTGCAGCAACAAGACCATAACAAGGACAGATCAAGCCTCAAAAAGACGGGAATCACTTAATACTGACCACTCAGCAGTATATTCCCAAAATGCTATCAGTGAAGCCAGATTCTTGAAACAAATTAAGCTCATCTCCTTCTGAAGGTATTCTGTGTGGCCCAATAGGCGCAGTCAGGAAGGTGGAAAACATGCGCAAGGGAGAGCAAACCCTTTTAACTTTCTAAACCCTAATTCAGAGACATCAGGGTGAAATAAATAGGCCCATAAGTCTGTACAGGCCAAAAACTGACCAAGAACAAGAGGAAAAAAAAAAAAAAACAGCTATACATGGTTATGACAGACTGTAACAGCAACAACATTCAGGAGAAAAATTCCCAAAGGAAAATAGAAAACGATGCCCAAAGATAAATCCTACTTGATAAGTGTCTGTTAAGATCATAGCCATTTTATCTTTTTACTTTACATATATCTTTCCCCGAGACAACATAAAATACAAATTATCTCCCATATGCAGACACCACACAGTTTCCAGTGAGCTTTTATTTCAAAAATAAAAGCACTTCGGGCCAGGAATTTAGCTCAGTGGTTCTGCCACCTGCCTCGCAAGCACAAGGACCCAAGTTCAATCCCAGTACCAAAACAAAACAAAACAAAAGAATAAAAGCACTTTTACAAGCAAGGCCCATGAGCTAGTATTTAGATTTTAAAAGCAATATCCTCAATATCCTAGGCCCAATGAAATGATAAATATAAGAGAAACAAATGTTCTTCAAAAGACCTGTATTTTAAAATTCCATATATTTAGACAGATTATTTTAATAGATATTCCTGGCACCATATAAAAAGCCCTGCATCTGAAACAATTTTCATTTTCATCATAACTATTAATATCATGTTGCATTTATACAGCTCTTCCAAGCTTAGTAACTTAATTTTACATTAATGTACCAATTGCTAAAAGCAAGCAACCAAAAGGAAAAGCAAATCCAATCAACCGGTTACTATGTATCAAAGACTAAAACTTCTAATCTACAGCTTTTTCAGTTACAGTATACAAGATTCCTTCCAGAAACAAGGATCTTGAAGAGATGGATCATGATTATCTATCAGATAGCAAAAGCTTATTCCATATTCCTCAATTCACTAGTATTTCTAGCTAAAAGAGAACCAAACCTTTGGCATAGAAGCATATGCCAATTTTCCATTGAAATAATCTTTAAAACACTATGGCCAAAAGGAGAATAGTCCTGATGTTATGGTACTAGTCTGCTTCTGACCCAAGAGTTAATAATCTTGCTGGGTATGGTGGTACACACCTATGGTGCCAGCACTCAGGAGGATGAGGTCAGAGAACTGTCACAAATTTCAGGCCAACCCAGGCTACATAATATGCTCAAGGTCAGCATGAACCAACCAGCAATAGCCTGTCCCAAAAACAAATAAAAAAATTAATAACCTTTATTCCAATTCAGATTCTCAACATATCAACTCCATTCTAGTTGAGTCTCTGTTTGTTAAACTTTTCCTATTCATACCACCAATTATGGTCTTGTGTCCATATTTAAAACTACCTAGCCACTATCAAGTCTCTAAGCCTGGTTCTCCATGTTAATAATTCAGGTTCTAAAAGTCTATTTTAGAATAATTCCATTCTTGTAATTTAAAAAAAAATATAGAGAGAGGAACAGGGATTTAGCAGTGGTGCCATTAATGAGATAAGCTGCTGATTTCAAATTAAGACTGCAAACAAAGTGAGCTAAGTTCCTCTGCTGAGTGGGAAAGACATGTAGCTGAAGAGATCTGTGCATATCTGATTGAGAAATTTACACACACCCCAGCATACACACACACACACACATACACACACACACACACATATGCACACACACAGAAAGTTTGGATGATGAGTTTTAGATGCTGGTTACTGTTTTGCCAATACTGCCTAACATAATGAGTAGAGAAAGCATTGCTTTGGTAATGAAAATGTTATTAAAAGGGCCAGGGTCTTAGCTCAGTGCTTCCAGCAACTGCCTTGCAAGCGCAAGGTCCCAAGGTCAATCCCCGGTTCAAAAAGAAAAAGTTATTAAAAATAAATTTTAAGGTCCAGGGATTTAGCTCAGTGATTCTGCCACTTGCCTTGTAAGCACAAGGACCTGAGTTCAATCCCTGGCACCAAAAAAATAAAATATAC